TGAGTTTGTCATTTGCAATAATTTATCAAATCTCTGTTTAGATGTACTCTCAAATGGGATCTTGTTTTCATTTTCACAAGAACAGGAACTTCTCTAACCAAATATATCAGATTGGCTCCAGAATATCAAATATTTCCAATAGATTTATGTCAACGCAGATATAAAGTATAGTTAAGCTATTTTGGTCATGTTTAGGTGTGTATCAGTAGGAGGTGGCCTGGAAACGTCAAACAGCCTAACTGCATCAGTTAAAACACACAAAGTCAAAAAGCACCATTCAGCGGTCAGGTCGCCTTTGATCAAAGCATTCACTGTGCTGTCTTTTTATTAAATGACGCATTTTAACTCCTGCTGTTCAGCCATAACAAAGCTAGCGTAACAGTCAAATCATAACAAGGCCTCAAAATCTTTCGTTTAAATTTATTAACATTTCTACTTATTTGAACTCTTCTTCTATTCTTCAGCTATTTCTTAAATACCTCTCTGTTCTGCCTTGTACTAGTCCAGAAAATATGTTTGAAACTCTGTATTGTTAGCAATTATCATTTTATTGCCTCACTTATTGTATTCATCATATGTAAGTCGCTTTGGATAAAAGTGTCAGTTAAATGAATGTGTAAATTATATTTAATTTACCATCAGATAAACTGCTTTACTTTTTTCTTATTATATAAAGAGTAATGTTACAGTATTACAATACCATAATCTGTGAACAAGTTACTAGGCAGTGCATAACATGTCGATCATTGTTTTGTTTTTAACTTGTGCTGTCTTCTGATTTGAAACAAATCAGCCATTACATGATCAAAATGACCTTAATCAACAGCCGCTCAACATTTGTCATTCTAATTAAATTCAACAAACAATTCAAAATAAAATTTTAGCTAATTTTTACCTTCTAACCTTAACCCTCTTCTAAGATCATGATAAACGCCCCACCTAAATCCAGAAGCGCTCCAAAACTCCAGACAGTCTAGTTACATTTCCTTGAGCAGAGAGCTTTCTTACCTGTCTTGTTGAGGCTGTCGCTGATGGTTAGACTAAAAACCAGTTTCTATGGCGTTTACAAGCTTTTCATAGTCACTCGGCTACTCCACCCCTGCCTACTTAGAATACATTAACATATTCTGTCACCATTTATGAATGCTGTTGTGACAGAAACAAGAAGGCGGCTGTATTTTTCCACATCTGTCATCTGTATTTTTTCCACATCTGTCATTGAATAACCAGTTTTGCTGACAGCAGTAAGTGACGGGCTATATTAATGTAAACATAGGCCTACTAATTCTCGACTGAAAATGAGTGAAAAATCAGCAAAGTGAACGGTGGTAGCAGGTGTTTTGTTTTCACTTTTCGCACCTGGCATTTCAAACTTAAAGATTTTCATTCTATATTGTGAAGTTGGCCAGAAAATGTCTAATCGGAAGTTGTGTGACTCCTTTGCTCAAACCCTCATGTTTTCTTGAGACTGAATTTTACCGTCTTTGGCATTCCAGAGCCTTGATTTATCTATAAAAATAACATCTTCAAAACTTCAAAATTAACCCAGTATTTTCTTAGATTCATTTGTTCCTACTGCCTGAGATGCTAAAATAGGCTGAATGGATGGAAAGAATGAAAGATGGATGGATATTATTATGTGATATGGTGTTAAAAGCCATTTGGCAGCTATTATTGAAACTTTCGATTTAAATTCTGTTGTATCACATAGTATATGTGTGCTTTTATTTACAGTAATGATAGTGTCATTGTGACCCTCCTGTGAAAATTTACATCTAGTGTCTCTTGAGTACATAATGTTACAATAAGATTAACATATCTGTACAGAATGTATTAGTCTAGATTATGTTTATTTATACATATACTAATACAAGTTGTATATAGTCTGTAATCACGTTTATAAATTACCATTAACCTAGATTAATAAATGCTAGTTTGTTCATTGCGTTAACTAATGTTAACAATTTGAAGCTTATTGTAAAGTGTTATCCATATTTTTAATAGAAGATGTGTGATCACTGTCAAGGTGAATCTTTTAAAGCTTATAATGACTGAAATGAGCGGCTTATAATGATCTTATAAAATTAGTGAAAATCATCAACATATCAGTATAACCTGATATGTTAAGCCTTCAATGTGATTTATGTTTAAGGGGTGTTAAAAGGGCCTTAGGGTCCCTCAGACCACAAACAGAACATGTTAAACATCCCGTTACAGTGGTCTGAAAAAATGTGAAAAATCTTTTATTGAAACTAACTATAGTTATTGTTAGTTAGCAAGGATGTTTCACATTTTTCTGACTCCTCCTTTTTTAAGTTTAAGATATCCGTCTAATCTGAGGTCGAATCTTTGTAACAGGTAGCATGCCATCATCACATCAGCTATTTAACTAACTTACACACAGATTTGGTAAGTGATAAACTTACAGGGGCTAATGTTAAAAAGGGCTTGTTACAGTTTTTCTCAGTCGCTTTGGTGCATTTCTCAGATCAGAAATGAAATTCTCAAAACTACTTGTACAACCTCCATATCATCTGGTCACTTGTGCACATCATAAAACCAGTTTCTCATTCTTTTGAACAAGTTGCGATTGCTTTGGTATGCAACTAATTATGTACATTTATCTGCGGTTTCCTACATTATCAGTTGCTAATGTCATGTTGCTCAAAATGTATTTTTCTGTGCAATAGTCTTACCCCTCAAAACATCTAGTCTTTAGTTGCTTGTATAAGTCATCTAGTTGTCATAAACTGTCAAGCACATTTTTTACACATTATTATTAGACTTTTTGTAAATTTGGCATGAATTGTGCAAGTGAATCTTGCCTTTCACTAATGAAGAGAATGTAGATCAACCAATGACAATCCATTTCTCTGAAATAGCTCAAAGGTGCATCTCATGAATCTTCAGTTGGAAAGCATATATAGACAGAGGACAACACAAGAGTTACAAATTCTGAGAATGGAGTTTCTTATTTTTTATTTTCATCTTTGTGCCCATATTTCATTTTCCTTTTCTATATCACAATGACATTGTAAGGTTTTTTTTTTTTTTTTTTGGTCAGACCACTATTAAAAGTGTAACGGGATTCTATCCAGTCTTTTTCAATTAATATCCCGCATACAGTGATGTGTAAATTTGTACTTTTGAAATTATATATGGCATACATAAGCATATGGCATACTGTTCAATACAGTAACTGTCATCCAAACTGTTGCCATATAGTTTACATCAGGTAATACTAACAGAGTGCAGTGTTATATTGTCAACCTGACTAAGCATTTTGACTATCTTGTTTGTGAACAATGACACAAGGACTTTTCATTCTGATGGCACTGATATGTTCATTGACATAAATGCTTACTTTTGAGAGATGAGCTAAAGTAAGATTTTTAGTAAGTTACATGCTTTTGCAGGTAATCCATTGTGTGGTGCTGTTTGTACGAATTGTTTTGAGAAATGCACATACTTTTTTGCAAATATTAAGGATGATTTGAGAAATGCACCAAAGCGACTGAGAAAAACTGTAAGATGAATGGGTGATGGGTACCGGGAGGGGTGGACTTCATGCGCTCTCCAGGTGTGGCAGGGAGTGGAAGACTGTCTGCTGCTGATATCATGAGAGTGGGCTCGGCTTCTCAGCTGCGTGCGTCTCTTTGTGTGGCACTCCTTTGACTGCGGTTTAGCTCGTCCGGCAACATTCCACCTGCTGTCACCAAACATTTTCTGTTCCACATTCCATGAAAAGGTTGCAAACGTTCTGCTGATGATGTGCGGAATAATAATTATAGTGAGATGTCTGGTTTCTCGGGCCTGTAACATTTTCTTATTCTGTCTTGCTCTGCCCATTTCCTCTGGATGTGCACTGGAAGAGTGTCACCTATGGTTATCTGTACATGTCATCATAACTGAACTTTTTATATATGTGCAATATATACACAACCAAATTTTTTTTTCAACAGTAGATATCATCATAATGTTATAATTTCAAATGAATTGTTCTTTTGAACTTTGTATTTATCAAAGAATCCTGAAAACTATCGTTTACACTAAAATATTAAGCAGCGCAACTGTTTTCAACATTTCAGCATATTAAAATTAATATAGCATATTCAAATTTGAAGGATCATGTGACACTTAAAAATGGAGTAATGGCTCCTGAACAGCCTTAAATCACCTAAGAAAATCATGTTAAAAGTCATTTTAGTCTGACATAAGTTGCTTCAAAACTCACATATATTGCAACAAAAAACAAAACAAAACAAAAAACATGAATGCAACAAAAGGTCACAAGATGGGAAGTTATTAGCATCATGTGAGTTTATTTTTGAGCATCACACGTTCCAAAACCTTTACGTAACGCCTTAAGGCCATTGTTCACTCTCTGTATTCTAGTTGAATGGGCTGTGTTCAAAGCTGATACAAAACTATAAAAACACAAGTGTGAACATACATTCTATATTAAAGGGATAGTTCACCCCAAAATGAAAATTCTGTCATTAATTACTCACCCTCATGTCATTCCAAACCTGTAAGACCTTCGTTCATCTTCGGAACATAAATTAAGATATTTTGGTGAAATATGAGAGCTCTCAGACCCTGCATAGACAGCAACGCAGCTATAATGTTCCCAGGTCCAGAAACGTAGTAAGGACATTGGTAAAACAGTCCATGTGACATCAGTGGCTCAACTTCAGTTTTGCGAAGCTACGAGAATACTTTTTGAGCGCAAAGAAAACAAAAATAACATATGCCTGTCCATCCATGTTTTTGCAAAAGTGTGTGTTTGCTTGAAGATTTCAGTTTGGGGTCTGTGAAATCCATTTAGTCATGTTTTAGTTTCCCTGTTGGCCACTGTGCCAAAGAAAAAGGAAATCGTAATCTTATTCAGAGCATCCAAGGATAGGAGGGCGTATACCTACACAAACTGTTTTAGGCTTGAATTAAAAAAACATATAAGATCAAGTTATTCAAACGCCTGTAAAGGACATAACGCAACCATGAACAGAAGGGCCAGCAGAAGGGTTTTTTTCCTGGTCGTAATCTTCCTGCTAATGCCTGTGACCTGGACACGGAGAGGAGCAGCAGCTGAGACATATAAACCCTTACACCAAAGACTGAGGAGGCTGAATCAGCAGGTTTGTTATGTTTAAACAAACTGTCTTCAAATATCACATTGCATGTATCTGTAACATGATTCCTCCAATCCTAGTTCAAGAGATTTCAACAGATGGCCTTCACTCATCTTCAGAGCATTGCTGAAAAGTACAACATTTCACATAACATAGACTCGCGATTCCAAGTTTTGAGTCGGCAGTTTGAGAGGATCTCAAGAGAGCTCCGCGCATTTAAGGAAACGACAGAGCACAGCCTGAATTCCCTCAAATCCTGGACTAAGAGTCTACAGAAAAAGACCAAGAAGCTTGACTCAAGTCTGGCAAACATGACGAGAGCTCTGAGGGAGAACAACCATCTCAACCTTAGACAAATCCAGAAGCAGAGAACGGTGTTGTCTGACCTGTCCCACAAGATCCAGAAACAGCAAAGTCACATCAGCTCTTTGGAGTCCTTAAGGAATCAGGTGCAACATGGGATGCAGGACCTTCAGGCTTCTCTCAAAAGGCATCAGGCCCAGATAACGAAGTTGGAGAGTCAGATGCAAGGGTTGTTCAAGATAATTTCAGCTTCCAAGGAAGGAGGTTTAGATCCCCTCAATGCTATCAGGAAGCAACAAGGTGTGGTCCTGAGGCATGTGCAGCCTAAACCGAAGTCTGAAGAAAACAGAATAAGAGATAGATTGCCTTCTGGGCCCACCGAACAACCACAGACATACAAAATGTTGTATGTACGGCAGAGCACCATACAACCAACAGTTCAGGCTGAAGAGGAACTTTTTCAGCTTCCACTTCGACACAAAATCCCACATATTCAAACCCCAAAGGAAGAAGCCAGAAGTAAGTATTTAGAAAACTTAGGTTGATAACTTAGGTTTTGTGTCTGAAAATGAAATCGAAATGCATCCAGTTTAGACTGAAAACCTTAATCTAACTGTTTAAAAAATGTAATTTTCATTCATTCAAAAACTATTTACTCTCCAAGAATCCAAACAGACAAGTATGCAAGCATATAGACCTTAATCAGGTTATGCCATAATAAATTTAATGTGGATGAAAACGGGGTTGTGAGGGATAATGAATAAATGTCATAGATCATATAATTTTGACAGCTTCCAAAACTATTTTGGAAGTTGTTGTTTTTGTCTACTAAAAGTATTTTTAGAAAGACTTTTTGTCAGCTGAACAATTAGTATGTTGTTTAACATCAATGCAATCCATTGAACACACTGTACTTCTATCCCTCACAGCCTTGTTTTCATTCAAATATGGCGCTACCCTAAAGTAAAATGTAAAATGTCTAATAATTTTGCCTCTCATTCTCAAAGTTTGCAATGTGGGTTCGATGCTTCTGTTCCCGTCTGCTTCCACTGAAAATCATGTCACCTTCCAGAGAAGTTTCCAAACTGGGATACATGAACTCTCTATCTGCACTTGGCTAAAAGTAGATGCCAAGTATCTTGGAACAATTCTTTCTTACGCCACAGAGAACAATGACAATATGCTTGTTCTCTATGGCCGGAACTCTGGCATACTGGGCGTTATGAATTTTGTGATTGGAAATCCAGCATATCGTGAATTATCTTTACAAAATATCCTGGATGGCCACTGGCACCATTTATGCATCATCTGGTCCTCCATTGAAGGCAGGTTTTGGTACTATTTGGACAGTCATCTCATATCTCCTGCATCCAAGTTCCAGAAAGGCTATGAGATCCCTCCTGGGGGCTCTATGATCCTGGGACAGGAGCAGGATTCGATTGGAGGAGACTTTGATGAAGCTGAAGCATTTGTGGGCAGACTGGCAGGCTTTGCATTGTGGACTAGGAGCCTGAGCCATGCGGAAGTGTCTGGACTAGCCTCTGGCAAAGGGGTGCCACGAGGAGCAGTGCTCAGCCTGGATGATGTAGACCAGATGTTTGGCTCTGTTCAACATATTACCTGTGAGTGTCTGGAGTACTGCATGTAAAGGCACAACAGAATAAGGCAGAAAAACACTTCTGTATTACACATTATTCTTGTATTTCCATTTATTTTGATAAAACAACAGTTCATATATTCAGTGATCATATTTTACATAGTTGGTCTTATTAAACTTTTTACTTTTAATTTTAAGAACATTGCTTTACATAAATATGCATCTTATTTTTGTTGGTCTGTGCAGTCAGCACACAGTGTGAAAGCCACTATTTCTTGTTTTTTGCAAAAGTATCAAATAATGACTCGAACCTTAATTTGTCATGTCAGTTTGTGTTTTTTTTTTCAGACTCCAAAAGGAATGCTGTAAATATACCCTGTTGATAAAACAGCATATGCTGGTTAGGTATGTTTTGAAGCATGGCAGCTGGTTTAAGCTGGTCCTTAGTTGGTCATGAGCTGGTTTAAGTGGCTCATGTGCGCTGGTCCTAAGCTAGTCCTAAGCAACTAGGTCCTGCTCAGAACCAGCTCATGACCAGCTTAAACCAGCTCAAACCAGCTGCCATGCTTCAAAACATACCTAACCAGCATATGCTGTTTTTTTTCAACAGATCTAGACTCTGTAAGGCTATATACACACACATACATAATCAAAACACAACATTTATTTATACTGCCATGCACACTGTGAGTTCCCAAAATCATAACAAATCAGTAACATGGCACTGTTCAATAAGAAATTATAATAAAAAAATAAAAAAATGTATGATTCATTACAAAGCAACTGAATATATCACAAGTATGCTTTTTGTCAAACTCTCAGTAACATACGAAGAAATGCAATGTCTTTGTTTTCCTTTTATGAACATCACTATTATTGCTCACTGTATAATTATTGTAAAGTTAAAGTATTATTGTAAAGTAGGCAATTATTGTAAAGTTTTGTTTGTTATGCCTAATTAACACGCATAATGTCCATATTACCTGACGGATAGGCTATAAGTAAAATAGCTGTCCTAAAATCAATGAATCAAATCAGTCTGAGAAACCTGTTGTTGGAAATAGGTCATTATTTTAGTTCGTTATTTTAGCTTTTGGTAACTCTAATGGCGAAGAAATATGCAATGTTTAACAGAGTTAATATAATCTAAAATATATGATACGACAGTTATGAGCATGTTTTACCCATTAACAGCACAGTATCATCTCTGTACCGTACATCATGTGACACAACCCAGAATAACTGTGAACTACATTTCCCAGACTTCCTTTGAAACCCATTTCTTTCTTGGACCGCTGTGCTTTCTTTACACTCGTCACGAGATCGCTTTGGTTGTTATTCATGGGGAAGAAGTGTTCGCAGTAGTTCTGCAGTTAGCAGGTTTGATGTATAATTAATTGTCAAAGTAGACATGGCCAACATCTCGAAGAAAGTGTCATGGTCTGGCCGAGGCGATGATCGCGGAGAGAGAACGCCACTGCTGAACGGAGCCGAGGACGGGAAATACAACAGACATGTACGTTAACGTTACCAGACAGGCCATACATACTGCAAAAAATGACATGTATAGGACTTGGCAATCAATCTGGGGATGTTTTGACTTCTGCTTATATGAAATACTTGCCCTGCTTATTAAATAAAGCATGCTTGTTAAAAATGCAAAGATGGCGTGCTGACTTGAAGACACAGAAAGCATGATAATACACTTGCACTAACTTCTTGTCATTACATCGTTGAAATGAAAACAAAATAGCTCTCAAACTTGTTTCTCGTAAACCCTAGTAAGCACTTGTATTTGTACCTACTGGCAAGTTGCAGGGTGTTTTGCAACTCTGGATATTTGGAATTTAACTTCTCATTTCTATTAACCCTCTTATTCTGCTAAGAAACTGCAAGCACCTGTGATCCTGTGACCTAGATTGAATTGGCTGATTCTTGATTACAGTCAGGAACATAGCTATGAATTAAGATATTAAAATTAGATATTCCTGACAGTGTCACCAAGACTTGTACCAACAACATTTGTTTTTTATAGCTTTTTTTTTTTTTTTTTTGTGCAGCATGCATACTGTAGACTGACTCTAAATGTAGATTAAAGTAGACTCTTGAAAATGTAATGTGTTTGGTTCATAGTTATCCGGGGGAGGTATATTTAATATAGGCAGGCTGAGCACTGTGGACCTTGAGGAAATCACACCCGAAGAGGTAAAATCTATTTTACATCAATTCCTTTTTATTTAAATTTTTTTTTTCTAAAGAGACGTAAAAACAAAACGTTATTGGATATACAGACATAAAAGCCTTCACTCCGGTCCAGAAAAGTGCTTCACTGTTTTGACACATGGTTTCAGTTTGAATTTCAATGTTTTTTGTGGTTTTGATGCTTTGAATGCTGGGATAGCGCATGAGTGTAGTCTAAATCTCTTCTCAAATCAGGCATTTTGGCTAGAGACTAGTGATGGGCAACGATTAATCGCGATTAATCACATCCCCCAAAAATTTGTGTACATAATATGTGTGTGTACTGTGTATATTTATTATGTATATAAAAAGACACACACATACAGTATATATTTAGAAAATATTTACATGTATTTACATGTATATATTTATATTAATCTAATTTATATTATATATAAATATATTTAATATATAAACATAACATATTTTTCATATATACATGCATGTGTGTGTGTATTTATATATACATAATAAATATACACAGCACACATACATATATTATGTACACAAAAACTTTTATTTTGGATGCGATTAATCGTTTGACAGCACTACTAGAGATTTAGGAAAATGCCTGACTCATCGGCTTCGTCAGCATGCACTTTGTAAAAATAATTTATTGGGAAAATGCATACAATGTACTTGATCATTTGTTGGCATGAGGTCAAGTTTGCTCATGGCTGCAAAGAGTTGATGTAGCTAAATAAAGTGTTGTTCTATTCTGATTGCACGAGCATAGAATTCAATTTCAATTCAAGTTTATTTGAGAATGACAGTATATGCCCTTGATGAATGTCAACTCTGAGTCTGTTTTCCCCAAATCACACAGGACATTGTGAGAAGTCGACTGAAGGAAATCCCTCACAATGCAAAGCTGCTGTCTCTCAAATATGAGGTAACGGAATCTAGACCTGACCTTTAGTCACCCTTTCCTTTTTCAACTGAGCGTCTGTCAAAAATGCTTTGAAAAATCTGTAGGTTTTCTGTCTGTTAAAAATCACAGACAAAATGCAACATGTACACTTTAAATAAACTGTTTTTGAAGAGCTGTGATGTAAAATGTCAAACCTAGTGCATTTTGTGTTTCAGAGTCTTGATTATGATAACAGTGAGAATCAGTTGTTTCTGGAGGAAGAGAGGCGGATGAGTCACATGGTCAGTAGCACCATCTGAGAGTTTCATTAGAGGTGGAGATAACAAACTCTGGTTCTGTGTCTGTGGGAAACGGTTAACTTGGATCATGTGCGCTTCGTAAGCTGTTCATCATAGAAAGGCACTTTCTGAGTTTACAGCCATAACGGTTAATGGAGAGCATTGAAATGAATGTGCAGTTTGCAGTTTTAACTGGCTGTCCCTAAATTGTGGGGCATTTCGCAATCTTTTGTGCTTTTTTTTAAATTGTTGGTTTATGTACATGTGTTGCATTAACTCGACCCCGAAACACCTTGGTTTCTTTTTCAATCACATTATTTTCTGTATAATGAATAATAATGCTAAATTAATGCATTAAAACGACAAGACAATGTACAGTGCATTGCACATATTTTCCCTAGTATTCTCCAAATATGGCTTGACCCAAATTTAATATGTCATGCCAAACGTTTTGAACATTAGTGGAACAGCATTAAGCCGTTTCCACGTATTAGCAGTTCATTCAGTGTACTAACAGAACAGACTCTGGCTTCTTTTTTATGCAACAGTAATTTGTTGTAACAGTTTTTAATGTTTATTTCTCTTAACCGTAGGGTTTCAGATGTCTGGAGACCAGGCGATGGGTGATCTGCGGTCTGATTGGGTTTCTCACTGGCCTCATCGCATGCCTGATAGACATTGCTGTGGAGAAATTAGCTGGTTATAAGTACTCTGCAGTCAAACAAAGTATCCTTCCTCTGTCAGTCATCTATCTAATATGATCAGCTTCTTACGTAAAGCACTCAAAAAAATTGTTTGCTCCTTAATGAGCCAACACACTGCAGTTTGTGAACAGTCTGTCAAAACATAATTTAATTTCATGCTATTTTGTAATATGAATGTTTGTTTAATCTATTTCCATTGTTACTACAGGAATAATTTGCCCGTAAACAGATGCATGGCAATCCAGATCTAGACCGACACAGACAGAATGAAAATTGAGCATTATTTTTTTTAAATCTAATTTCATCTGTCCATGTAGTTTATTTAATTTAGCACTCAACTAAATTCAAATGTTTTTTTCTTTAGTTATTTTTATATTCCAGGAAAAAATATATTTAGCCAATGTTTGGTACAAAGACACAAATTTTATTCATGGTATTATGCTAATATAGCTCAGTAATATTTATAATACTGTGCAATAGTACAGTCAGACTAATCAACTTTTTAAATGAAAAGGCTTAATTTAATTGCATGGACAGGTTTATTCAGCTTAATTAAGTGTCATTGTGTGTTGTTTAGTTCTCTCTGGCTTCAGAGCGTCTTTACCTAGATGTTCAGACATTGAGAAATTCACAGAGTTTGGAGGCCTGTCCATCTCTCTTATACTGTGGGCAGTGCTGAACTCTGCTTTCGTCATGGTTGGTGCTATCGCTGTTGCTTTTTTTGAGGTGAGCGTTTTCTTCCTGTCAGAATGAGATTTGTGTGGCTTCTGCTTCCCTTCTGTGCTTCAGTATCATTTCAGAGAAATCACTCGACTCTTTCAATGAAATGTCCCCAAGCAGAAAGCAGAATTTGGCTATGTTCAGAATAGCATACTAGAATACTATTCGTACTATTTCTACAGTACATAATATGTACCAGATAATGTATCCCACAAAGCAGTGCATCCCACTGTCCTG